CACCCACCCATACATACACACATACACACACATGTACAAACACATATATACATACACACAATACATACACATTTACACATTCCTCCCACATAAGCACACATATACACATACATGCAAATTCATACACACATATACATACACATGTACACACACATACACATATACATAAACACACTCATATACATACCACATACCCACATACAGACATGCATGCACATGCTGAGCTTGACAGTGTACACCTGTTATCTTGACACTTGGAAGGTAGGGCAGGAGGGTCTCACGTGCAAGCAAGCCTGGACTATGGCATGTCCCCTCGTCATGTCCCATAGCCTGACCACCTTTCTTTAAAGGTGAAATGAGGGCTGGTGGGATGGCTCAGTGGTTAATATTTGCTGCTCCTGTAGATAGCTCAAGTTGTGCTCGCAGCCCCTGTGTAGTCAGGTGGCTCACAATCTCTGGGGGAATCTACCTTTGACCTCCATGAGCACCCACATACATGCGCATTCCTTCACACACACTTAATTAAAAAAATAAAATAAAATCTTTGGAAGGCGATGGTGGTACACACTTAACAATCCCAGCACTTGGGAGACAAAGACAGGCAGATCTTTGAGTTAGAGGCCAGCCTGGTCTACAGAGTGAGTTTTAGGATAGTCAGGGCTACACAGAGAGATCCTGTCACGGAAAACTAAAAAAGAAAATTGAATCTCTAAAGATAGAAAACTCATAGTGGAATTGGTGGGTGGGGATGGGGAGGTTTGAGCCAGATGTGAGCCCCAGCTATGACTCTCACCCAGCCCTCGCCTTGCACCCGTCCCTTGCAGACTTCAGCTGAAATCGATGGGGATCTGAGCACAAAGAAGTCAACCATCCACAAAAAGAAGTCAGGAGATGTGTCCGCTGGTCCCGATACAGGCCTGTCTCCAGGCTCCCAGGGTGACTCTAAGTAAGTGACTGTGCTGGAGAGGCTGGGGCCTGGCCACAGCACCCTAAACTGGTTTCAATGATGAGGCCCATTTGGGTTCAGCAGTTGTTTGAGGCACAGTTCCTGAGAGCTTTGCTGAATACCCACCCACTGACCCTTCCCTTTTAGCACAGCTCAGGACCACCTTGAGCATCGCATCAGCATGGCCACATGGTGGTGATGCCGCCTTAGGAAGCCACAGGCAGGCCAGCTCATCTGCCTGATTCCACAGTGTTGTGGGTTCAGGAATAGCTGTATGCTCACCACTTGGACATCAGACTTGCATGGGTGGAAGTTTATTGAAAGCTGAACAAAGACTGACCAGCCATGGCCATAATCTGGACTCTGGAGCCAGACTATGACATTGGTCTACTCCTAAGGCAGGTTTTATACAAAAAGCAAACAAACAAAAAAACACCATAACCAGGTAACTAAACTATAACCAGGTGTAGGAAACAAACCACAACTAGGTAACAACCAGGTAACAAAAATGCAACCAAGTATCCAAGTGTAGGAAGCAACATTACATCATTTTGACTAGCTAGACAAAGTGTTTCTAACTGACCTTTAATTTGATTGGTTCTGCCCTTGGGAGACTTCATTAGTGTGCAGATAACAAAGTGTACAAAGTTTGAGAAATAAAACCATAAAGGCATAATCAAAATGGGCACTTGGAGGCAAAATGGCTTCTGATACACTAAAGGCTATAGCAGGTGTTAACAGAGGAGCCACAGTTATGCTGAAAACTAAAGTCCCAACAGAGGGGCTATAGCATTTAATCAGGTTACAATACATAGATGGTGTCAGAGGCTGGTGTCAGGCCTTTCTCTAGTACTCCCTGTGAAGAGACACCAGGACCATAGCAACTCTTAAAAAAAAAAAAAGTTATTTATTATATATACACAAGTGTTCTGCCTGCGTGTACACTTGCACACCAGAAGAGGGCACCAGATCTCATTATAGATGGTTGTGAGCCATCCTGTGGTTGCTGGGAATTGAACTCAGGACCTTTGAAAGAGCACCCAGTGCTCTTAACCTCTGAGCCATTCCAGCCCCAAAGCAAGCTTTTAATGGGGGGCTTGCTTCTAAGGGTTAGTCCATGATCATCATGGCAGTAAGCAGGATGCTGGAGCAGTAGCTGAGAGCCATATCCCAATCCACAGACATCCTGGGCTGGGCTTTATTATTCTTTTGTTTGGTTTTTGTTTTCCCAGACAGGATTTCTCTGTAACTGGCCTGGGCTATCCCAGTGAAATGCTTCCTCTGACAAGGTCCCATCTCCTAATTTTTCCCAAACAGTTCCACGCCCTGGTGACCGTATATGAACCTGTGGGGACCATTCTCATTCAAACCACACACACTCTATCTTAATCTTTTAAGGTAGGGTCTCTCACAGAACCTGGAAGTCATTGGTTCATCATCGGCCAGTAAATTCACCCATCCCATCTTCCTGCAGCAATGAGGTTGCGTGTGTGCTCCTGAGCTTGGCTTTTACGTGGCGCCGATGGCCCCAACTGCAGTCCTCATGCTGCAGAGCAAGGGTTCGAACCATTGCCCCAGTCACCACCATTTGTTTGTTTGTTTACTCATTTATCGAGACAGGGTTTATGTGGCCCTGGCTGTCCTGGAACTCACTGTGTAGACCAGACTGGCCTTAAACTGTGAGGTCCATTTTCCTTTGCTCCCTGAGTGCTGAGATTAAAGGTATGCACCATTCCCAGCCCTCCACTTTTTTCCAAATGAAGACAAAACCAGATCCTGGCTAGGTTTGATTAGACACTTCTTTGATCATAGACATGAGGCTGAGGCAGGAGAATGGCTATTGTTTGAAGTTTGAAGCTGTTCTGGGTTATATTGAGTCTGTCTCAAAAAGCAAAACACAAAAGCTTAAGGTACCTCCCACCTCTCTCCCTACCTTTGGGAACCTGTCCTGGGTCCTCAGAGCTTGAAAAGTTCCTTAAGGCCTTGTGCCCAGATGGCCTTGCTACACTGCTCTAGAATGGTTCTTTCACAGAAAAGAGTGGTCTCTGGGACCAGAGCACTTCACCAAAAGCACAGCAAGTAACAGAAAAACACAACAGGCATCGGCTATGGCAGAGGAACAGAATGGCCCCTGCTGCCAGACTCCCCACCTAAGTGTCAGAACCCAGGGCTGTAGCCAAAAGGAGTTGATCTTACAGGAAGTCTAAAACAAGATCAGAGGCTCTGCTTCTCCTGAGTCACCAGAAGGCTTCTGGCCTGGCAATGGGGACTTAGGCATCCTTGCCTTTTAGACAAGTAACTCCATCTTCATGTGGTTTCCAACCCAGTGGCTTCTCTGAAATAGCTTTTGGTTGCTTACAGTGCCAAAGAGGGAGCCCTGGGCTGCACATACTAGCCAGGGTCTCCACCCCTGAGCCACAGCCCAGCCCTCACTGGGGGATTCTAGGCAGGGGCTCCACCCCTGAGCCACACCCGTAGCCCCTTCTGTTTCGTTTAGGAAGAACACTTGGATTTGTGTTGACTTGGCTAATTTATATCTCATGCTGTATTCCTTCAGATGGTCACAAATATAAAGACCTTCCTACACAAGAACCCAGTCAGAGTCTGAGCTAACAGCTCAAGATAACTTTTTGGTGGGCAGCTCCTACAGGACCCAGCCACCACTGTTCATAATTTGTCATCATTTCTCAGGCTTTCTTCTGATGCTGTGCCCATGAAGCCATGGGGGAGGGGCAGAAACTCATTTTATTATTTTGTTTTTAAAATGTTTTACATTATTTTCATTTATGTTTGTGTGTGTTCGTCACATGTACTGTGCCAGTACATGGAGGTCAGAGGACAACTCGCTGCAGTTGGTTTTTGCTTCTATCACACTGAACACCAGAGTGAACACAGGTCATCAGCCTTCATGGCAAATGCTACCCTCTGTGCCTTCTCACTAGCTCATTGTTGTCTTTATATGACACCAAGGGCAGGCTGAGCCCTGCTTGCATATTCCTCGGCTCAGGCCTTTCTGTTACACTCCCGTCCAGTACTCCATAATGAGCCCTGTTCAGTTTTCACTTTGTTTTGGATTTTCTGTTTGTGGTTTTGTTTTTTTAGACAGGATCTTTCTGTGTAGCCCTGGTTGTCCTGGAACTCACTCTGTAGACCAGGCTGGCCTCAAACTCAGATCCCTGTGCCTCATGAGTGCTGGGATTAGAGGTGTGAACCACCATTGCCCTACCTTTTCATGATTTTTAAGAAAGAGAAATTAGGGGCTGGAGAGATGGCTCAAAGGTTAAGAGCACTGGCTGCTCTTCCAGAGGTCATAAATTCAAATCCCAGCAACCACACCCAGTGACTCACAACCATCTATAATGAAATCTGGTGCCCTCTTCTGTCCTGTGGGTGTATATATACATAATAAAAGAAAAGAAAGAAAGAGAAGTTCAGATCGGGTGTGGTGGTTTATGGTGTTAATCCCAGCCAGACAGAGACAGAGGCAGGAGGATATCTATGAATTTGAGCCTTTTACACAAGATGTCAATGCAGCCCAGGCTGGCTTTGAACCTGGGAGCTGAGAATGATTGGTCCTCCTGCCTATTTCCAAGTGTGCCTGGCCTCCATTTTGATTCTAAGTCAGCTTCCTGAGCAGAGGCTATCTCCTAACTTCTGCTTCTCAGGCCTTAAACCTTGTGCAGAGCTGAGGTGTGGTGTTCCATTCATAAACACATCCCAGCTGCCTTGGATACCAAGGCCAACCTGGACTGCCTTGACTGTCTGGAAAGCAAAACATCAGGGTGTGGTAACACATACCTTTAATCCAAGCACTAGAGAGATGGTTTAGCAAGTTAAGAGACTTGCCCTATTTACAGAGGACACAGTTCCATTCCCAGCACCCACATCAGGTGACTCAGTCACTGTAATCCAGAGGAATCCCACACCCTCCTTGAGCCTCACATGGTGCTGCACTCACATGGCAGATACCCACAAACATCCGAATCCCCATCATTAAAAATTTTAAATTAAAAAGAAACACCCATGTTTCCTGCAGGTCTGCCTTTAAGCGGCTCTTCTTGCACAAAGCCAAGGATAAGAAGCCCAGCCTGGAGGGGATGGAGGATACAGAGGCCAGTGGAGGGCAGGCCACACAGGAAGCCCCCACCAAGAAGAATCTAGAAGGTTGGTTCCTTTTAACTTCCAGGGTCATCTGCTTAGCAGTTCCCACAACAGTCAGGTCCCAGCAGCACACTCTGAGCCTTGGGCATGGGATTCTCTCTGTGGATCTGGGTGTGCATCTGGGAGCCCATTTCTGACCTTGCTTCCGGCTGTCCCATGTCCCTGAAGCACCTGCTAGTCAGCAGCACCGCCACACTGCAGGCGAGAAGCCCCTGAAAGGAAAGAAGAACCGAAACCGAAAGGTTGGCCAGATCACAGTGTCCGAGAAGTGGCGGCAGTCAGTATTCCACAAGATCACCAATGCCAATGAGCTCAAGTTTCTGGATGAGTTTCTCCTCAACAAGGTGAGCTGCCCGGATGCCAGTCCTCAGCCATACCCAGGCTAGAGACATTGCAGAGCAGTGGCTGCTCGTCCCTGGGGTCTGGGGTCTGCCCCAGCACTAGGGCATTAAACAATACAAAAGATTCCAGGACCTGAGCGTAGGAGGAGGACCTCTCCACAGTATTCAGGACAGAGCTGAGCTCAAGACTCAGTGGGACACATGATCAGGTTTACAGAGAAAAGCAGAGTAGGACCGTCAGGGTGGCTCAGGGTGAAAGGTGCTTGCTGCCAAACCTCATGACCCGAGTTTGATGGTCCCGAACCATACCCTGGAAGACAGAACCAATTTCCACCGGTTGTTCTCTGGCCTCCATGCTGTAACATGCATTTGTGTGCACATACGGATAAACTCTTGAAATTAAAAATAGTATGTCAGGGCATTTTACCTCTATGTATGTATGTATGCGATCCACATGCATGCAGGGCCACAGAGGCTAGAAGACGGCAGCAGATCACCTGTAGCTGAAGTTCACAGGTGGCTTCACACCGCCGTGTGGGTGCTGGGAATCCAACCCTCTGGAGTTGCAGTGGGTGTGCCAACCACTGAGCCATATCCCTGCCCCTGAAGTGTGTTTGGTTTAGTTTTGTTGGTTTTTCAAGATAGGGTCTCTCTGTGTCCTGGCTATCCTGGATTTTCCTCACTTTAAGTCAGTATTTGTGTTTTAAGCATTAGTGTTCGTCTTGTTCCTAGGTGTGTGGGGAAGCCATGCTCCACTCTGAGACTGTTTTTATTTTAAGAGCTTCAGGCAAAGGACTATGGAGTGTTGATGGGAGTTTAGGATGGGAGCGCACAGTGTGCGCAGGTCTTTGCTACACAGTGCAATTCATCTTGCTGATCTTGTGTGAAATCCACAGCTGCAGTTGCCACAGGCCCTGGGAGGCTGAGGCAGGAGGACTGCAAGTTCCAAGCCAAACTATTCCAAAAAAAAAAAAAACTTTCTCACTGGGGAGATGACTCAGCAGTTAAGAACACTGGCTGCTCTGCCATAAGTACTGAATTCAATTCCCAGCACCTACCCAGTGGCTCACAGCCATCTGTACTATCCATTGCTCTTTCCTGGCATGCGGGTGTATATGCAAATAGAGCACTCAAAACAAATAAATCTAAAAAACAAAACAAAACAAAAAAGCCGGGAAGTGGTGGTGCACGCCTTTAATCCCAGCACTCTGGAGGCAGAGTGTAAGTGTGAGTTCGAGCCAGCCTGGTCTACAGATCGAGTTCTAGGACAGCCAAGACTACACAGAGAAACCCTGTCTCGAAAGACCCCTCCACACACACACACAAAAGAAAAACAATTGAAGAATTAGAGCTTTCCTGAGTGGTACAGTGCTTGCATCTTTTGCTTGGAGCTCTTGGTTCCATCCAAGCATTGCAAAACCCCAGAGTCATGCCATATCACCATCCTTAGTGAAGATGCACATGATACCCTTAGGCTGGCTGGCCATGCTGGCAGGAAGCCTGCGCCAGGTTAGTCCGGCATTCACAACCTGTGGCCCAGCCTCTCCCTGGCCACCTGTCTGCTGTGCTCTATTTAAAGGTGTCTGGCTGCCTTGGATCTTGTGGCTGGCACTGACTGTGTGCAAGCAGCCCTGACCACTCTCTCCATGCAGGTGAATGACCTTCGTTCACAGAAGACACCCATCGAGAGCTTGTTCATTGAGGCCACCGAGCGTTTCAGGAGCAATATTAAGACCATGTATTCTGTGCCTGTGCGTGGTGACTATAACCTAGCTGCCAATGCCTCCCCAGCCCCACCCTACAGCCCAGTGCTCCTCCACAGCCCCCTTGCTGGGACCTGAGGGCACCTTGTTGTATTCCTACAGAACGGGAAGATCCATGTAGGCTACAAGGACCTGATGGAAAACTACCAGATCGTTGTCAACAATCTGGCCACCGAACGTGGGGAGAAGGACACCAACCTGGTCCTCAATGTCTTCCAGTCCTTGCTGGATGAGTTCACCCGCAGCTATACCAAGATGGACTTTGAGCCAGCCAAGGTAGGCAGCTGCACCCTACAGCCCCTCCCCAGGTGCTCCTGGGCAACAGCTGTGCCTCCCCCAAGGCTTCCTGGCCCAGCCTGTCCCATTTAGTCACACCTCTCTCTCTGGCTTTGCCCACCCCCCTGCCACATGCTTATCTTCCCAGCCCCACTGGCTATTGCACCACCATCTCCCTGGTCAGCCACAGCCCCTAACAGCTGCTACGTTGCCTTACACTTCTCCAGGCTTGGAGGGTCACAGTGTTCCCTAGCTCTCCACCTCCTTTTTGAGGACAGGGATATTCCTAGGGGACATTCAAGCTGAGCAGTCATCCCCACACAAACTTGATCTTTGTCTCTCCACAGAGCAAAGCCCAGAAGAAGAAGCGGAAGCAGGAGCGTGCCGTGAGTAGTCGTGTGTGTTTGTGTTTGTGTGTGTGTGCGCGCGTGCTTGCGCCCTCGCACACATGCTATGACTAGCTGTGAGTAGTTGTGTGTATGTGAGTGCAAGCCATGTCTGGATGGCCTCGTGTGCAGCCCTGCTGAGATGGCGGGGTGGGGAGCAGGCACCTCCTCAGTCCAGCCCTCCACCCCAGGTCCAGGAGCACAATGGACATGTGTTCGCCAGCTACCAAGTGAACATCCCGCAGTCGTGTGAGCAGTGTCTGTCCTACATCTGGCTCATGGACAAGGCTCTGCTGTGCAGTGGTGAGCTTTGCCCTGTCCTGGCCAATGGGTACCCTACCCCTGCTACCTTCTATGTCCTCCTGCCCAGTGCCCAGAAGGCTCATCTCAAACGTATGCATGTGTACACACTTATACAGAAACAGATCATGTGACAGTCCTAGGGCCTGCTTACATACAGCTCATACAGCTTTTGACCACCAGTCATCACTCCCCCATCTTCTCACGAGAGTCAAGGCACAGGTAGAGCCCATGCGATTTAAAATGCAGTTAGGGTCCCTAGATAGGGAGTGACTGAGTGTTCCCAGGAACCTGGGGTCCTCTGTGTGTACCCTCAGTGACCTCCACTCTGGCCCTATTAGTGTGCAAGATGACCTGCCACAAGAAGTGTGTGCACAAGATTCAGAGCTACTGTTCCTACACGGGAAGGAGGAAGGTGAGCATGCCTGAACCGGGAGCCTTCAGCCAGGACTTCAGGGGAGTGGCAGGAGGGGCTATGGCCACTAGTTCCAGTGCAGGACAGATGGCCACTTCTAGTACTAAGGCTCCAGCCAGGGTCCTAACCCTGCTGAAGAGTCCTGGGCCTGGAAGAGGGAGGCACTCAACTGTGCACGAAGGTGTTGGCTCCCATGTTTGTGGCACAAGAATCAGAATCCACTTCTTGCAGGGGACTGTGAGGCCAGGGTGCCTTGTCCCCAGGAAGGGCCATCCAGCCTACGGGTGCTGCATGGGGCAAGTCGCCCCTCCCGAGCATCCCTCCAGGACAGCATGTGCAGGAGGGATGGAGGAAGCTCGGGTATGGCACCTGACTCTCCACCCCACACTGCAGAGTGAGCCGGGTGCTGAGCCAGGCCACTTCGGGGTGTGTGTGGACAGCCTGACCAGCGACAAGGTCTCTGTGCCCATCGTGCTGGAGAAACTGCTGGAGCACGTGGAGCTGCATGGGCTGTATACTGAGGGCCTCTACCGAAAATCGGGTGCCGCCAACCGGACTCGGGAGCTTCGGCAGGCACTGCAGACAGGTGGGCACTGCGACCTGGTGCCCTAGCTGGGCAGGCCCCACTGGCCAGTACCCATATGCTGAACACATGTCCCTGTCCTGCAGACCCCGCTGCAGTTAAGCTGGAAGACTTCCCCATCCACGCCATCACTGGGGTCCTGAAGCAATGGCTTCGGGAGCTGCCTGAACCGCTTATGACTTTTGCCCAGTATGGAGACTTTCTCAGGGCTGTCGGTGAGTCATGGAGGAAGGGATGAGGCCCAGAGCATGTCCTACTCCAGCTAGGACCTATGGTTTGGGTTGGGTTTGTTTCCCTTCTGGACCTAGACAACACATGGAGGGCCTTCATGCACCCTGAATGCATGGGAAAGGAGGAATGGACATGGCTGGTGCTGCCCAGGACTGATAACCCTGACTTCCACAGAGCTTCCAGAGAAGCAGGAGCAGCTGGCTGCCATCTATGCAGTCCTGGACCACCTGCCCGAGGCCAACCACACCTCTCTGGAGCGACTCATCTTCCACCTTGTCAAGCAAGTGCCCATCCCCCCAGGAGCTGAGTGAGCTATGCCCTGTGACCTGGTTGCATGTCCTGGCCACTATTAGCAAGACATGAGCTGGCACTGGAGTCAGAGACGGGTGCCACCTAACTGTTGTCTCTGCAGGGTTGCCCTGCTTGAGGATGTGAACCGCATGTCTCCAGGAGCTCTAGCCATCATCTTTGCGCCCTGTCTGCTGCGCTGCCCTGATAACTCCGACCCCCTGACCAGCATGAAGGATGTACTAAAGATCACCACGTAAGTCCTCTGCCCCAGACCCATAACTACCCAGCTGACTGTAATATCTGACAAACTCAGTGGGGAAGCTGAGGCAGGAGAATCTGTAGTTGCTGGTCAGCTACAGAGCCAGACTCTGTGTCCAAAATCAAACAAGAGCACTCACTCAGAACTGTGGCTGCTTGAAGAATAAGCCCTGATGAGATTCATGGGTACCGTGGCTTGCCTGAGAATTCTTTTGGAGCGTAGGGGTCAGTGTCCGTAAGTTTTACGCTTTACGAGGGAGGGCACGTACCACGGTGCACATGCGCAGGCTGGTGTGGAGTGCCACCTGATGACTTGGACACAGATTTGGAGCCTCTGCCCCCTGAGCCATCTTTTTGGTGGCACCTTCTTAGTTTTCTTCAGCAGCCTTCCCTCGACTCCCCACCACATGCACACACCTTTTTTTTTTTCTGTGATGCTAGTGTTGGAGGCAGGTTCCACGTGTCCCAGCAGGCATGCTTAGGACTTCTAGGGCCTGCTCAGCGTGTACACAGCATTTTAAGAAAAATCTAGTATTTAATAAAAGGTAGATTTAAAGTGAGGGAAATTGGGGTCCACAAGCCACCTCAAGGCTGGCAGTGTGCAGGTGGTGGTGTATCCAGGGAGAGCACGGCCTCATGTCTTCCTGTTCATGGAGGCCTTGTTCTGGGTCCCTTGAAGCATTCAAGGGAAGAGACCCTAAGCTCCGCGTGGGGAGGAGTTGCCAGGAAGTCAGCTGTCTCCTCTGGGTGAATGAACAGCTTTGTTTTGTCGCTCCCTCGCAGAGCAGTCCTTGCACTCTGAACAGCTGGAGTGTGGGCTCTGTGGGAGAACTTTTGCTTGGCATGCATGAGGACCTAGGTTCCACACACACACCACCTCTACCCCTCAAAAAATTTAGAGACCCTCTCGAGAGGACCTTTTTTGTTCTATCACCCTTGGCAGCCTTCTCAGGGTAAGTCTGAGGGAGAACATTCTGTGTTCCCCAGCCATGCTTCTGGCCATCAAAGGTAGGTGAGAAAAGATCCCAAAGCCAAGTGTCCTGTGTCATCAGCACTCTGGTAGTAATAGGGGCCTGTCTTGTGCTTGCCTTTCTCCTCTCCAGGACAGGTTTGAGCTGAGTCCTTCTGGTACCAACCATCAAGTAGGGTCTATGGGAGTTAAAACTTATATTGTAGAGCTGTTAGGCAGGGCACTGAGCTGGGCAGACTGCCTAGCCTTTCTGTGCCCTGTCCTTTTCTAGAAGTTGAAGTAGTCCCACCCTGCTGCTGACTAGGTTTCTGTTCTCCACCCTGCACTGTCCTTTTACCTCCTACCTTGGGTGCTGTCAGTGACAAGTGACAGGACTCTTGGGTTCAGGAAGGCAACATGAGCCACCTGGGGTCACGTGGTGTCCCAGGGTGCTGGCCCAGACCCTGCTGGCTTTCTGGGCCTGCTTTCCCCAGCTACGGGACAGGAATGGACCAATCTGTACACAGGTGTGTGGAGATGCTCATCAAAGAACAGATGAGGAAGTATAAAACGAAGATGGAGGAGATCAACCAGCTGGAGGCAGCTGAGAGCATTGCATTCCGCAGGCTCTCCCTGTTGCAACAAAATGCTGTGAGTGCTGGCTGGCCTTGAGGTTGGGCCTCAAGCGGGTTTAAGTCTAGTGGGCAAGTGGGGTGGTTCTCTAACTCCAAACTTGGAAGTGGGCAGTGTGGTAAGGGGCCTGAGGAGGCGCAGGTGGGGCGGAGCCTTCTTTAAAAGGCCGCCTCCACCTAGCCAGACACAGGTTGTCCCTCTGCAGGGGTCAGGTGGGACAGCTCAGGACAGGAGCCTGGCCTGGTTTCCTTCTCACCAAAAATGTAGTGCCCGGGGAGATCCCGTTTGCAGGAACACCCATGCTGGTCCTGCGGGAGGGGTAGGTCCTGGGCTCCCATGGACACCAGTGAGTCTTCAGCCTGCTGCCTGGTCTGGTCTGGTCCTGCTCGTACCTGTGTGGCAGGCTCAGCACATCTGTTCACCTGTGTTATCTCTCCCCCAGCTATGGCCTATCAAACTGGGGTTTTCGTCCCCCTATGAGGGGATCCGGGTATGTACGTGTTGCGTGGGCCCAGCTGCATGTCTCCAGGTGCACGCTGGGTAGTCTTGGCCATAGCATAGAGCATGTCCTAACATCCTGGAAGTGCATGCTGGCTCGTCCCTATTCCCCACTAGATTCCTATGGAGCACCTAGGGGTAGGGTGGCCTACTTCACAGCTAACCGAGAGCTGTGGGCCTCTCCCTTGGCCTAAGCACTGGGCTCCGCCCACATCCAGAGCTCCACCCTCCAGCTCTGGGTCAGACCTGCCTCTTTTGTCTTTCAGACCAAAAGCCCTGGGACCCAAGTGGTACAGGATAGTAGCCTGGAGGAGCTGGAGGCCCTATCTGAGGAGGCAGCAGGTGGCGATGAGGACAGAGAAAAGGAGATTCTCATGGAGCGGATCCAGTCCATCAAGGAAGAGAAGCAAGTGTCATGCTCCCCATTCTTTCTAGCTCTCCCCATTCTCTCTATTGCTTCTTAGTCCTGGAAGGCCCTCCAGGCAGGAACAGCCTTGGCACTGCACTGAGGCCAAGCTGGGTGTGGAGTTAGTTAGAGGCTCAGATGCCAAAGGCAATCACCGACCACACGTGCTTGGCATGAAAGAGGGGCCCAGGGGAGGTCTGCCCTGGGAATGGTCTTGGATATGGTGCACCCACCCTCAGGGAGAACATCACATACCGGCTGCCTGAGCTGGACCCACGGGGCTCTGATGAGGAGAATCTGGACTCAGAGACTTCAGCCAGCACTGAGAGCCTGCTGGAGGAGAGGGTCGCTCAGGGCTCCATGGAAGGTCAGTGTGAAGGTGACATCTGACGACCTTCCCCGCAGTGGCAGGCCCAGGGTGGGAGTCCACCCACACCCCCGCTGCAGTAACCCCGAGTCTGTCTCTCCAAGGGCCTCCCGCACCTGCTCTCCCTTGCCCCAGTGCGCCCACCCCGAACCCCCTCCCCGTGGCTGCCACCCCTCCACGACGAAGGCCGACATCCTTCATCATGGTCAGAATGAAGACACCCCGGAGGACCCCTGTCATGCCCATGGCCAACATCAAGCTCCCGCCAGGCCTGCCCTCTCATGTGACGAGCTGGGCACCTACTCTTCAGGAGGCCGCTGTTCCAGTGAGGCGCAGAGAACCACCCGCCCGCCGACAGGACCAGGTACATTCTGTATACGTCACCCCCGAGGCTGGCCTGCCCTTGCAGAGCACCCTGGAACCCCTGGACCACGATGTCAGACTTCCTGGGGCCAAACGCAGGTACTCGGACCCCCCTACCTACTGCCTGGCCCCCACCTCTGGCCAGGCCAATGGCTGAGGACCACGATGGGCAGTCTGTATGTCCTAGAACCCCAGATCTGGGTGCCCTGGCTGTGGAGCTGGCCTTGACTCTCTGAGAAGGATCCAGAATGAAAGGCTCCCAGAGGGCTGAGATGGACACTGGCTCTGTGTGTCGTGGAGACCAGGGTCTGATGGCCAGGAGCCACCAGAGCCCCCATCTGCACAGCAGTGGCCCTTTATATTTTTAGTAACTCTTTCTCTGTTTACATACCTTTTATGTCATAACAGCCTTAATGGAGGACCAAACTTTTTATATGTGTACGTCTGGCTTTTATATTAACTCTGTCCACCTCTGTAACCTGGACGTGGGCATGCCACGCCACACCTGTGATATAGACATGTGGACCACATCTGGCTGCTGCACTCCACACCAGAGGACAGAGGACTCCTGGGGCATCTTTTGCCCTCCTGAATGCCTTCCAGCAGTGGCTGGCTGGCCAGAGAACCTTGCAGCAATTGTTGGAGCTTTCCACAGGGTCACAGCTATTGGTTGAAGATAGGACAGGAGTGGGAAGCCCTGTCAACCTGCATTCCAGAGAAGCCTGAATGTAGCCCACAGCTCTGCCCTCTGTGTCTTGGTCCAGGTGCAGGGCACTGCCCTTGGTGCCATCTGCCCTGTGGGATGCGAGGAGCCAGGGACTCCTGGCTGTTGAGGGGATGTTGAGGGGCAGTCAGTGCATGTCCTGAAGTTCCTCTGCAGCCCTGGGGACACTTTGGGCCCTCTAGAGCCCAGTTCTCTTCTCAGGCCCTCTAACCCTGGACACCTGACCACCAGCCTGAAACCAAGGAAGCCCTGTGGAAGGTGTGAAATAAAAGTGCTTTAGAAGTGTTGGTGTGGCCTTGCTGCTAGCACTACCTGGGGGAGTTGGGGAGGCAGATGTCCTGTCTGAGCTCCTAGCCAGCACTGCCTGAGTTGTCCCTCCTGGAGTCAGGAATGAAGCAAGAGCTGCCGTTAGCCCAGGATGCACCTGGGAGCTGAAGCAGGAGCTTCTGGCTAGCTTGGGCTGCAGAGGAAGGCTCTGCGTGAAGAGAAAAAGAAAAGGGCCCACTCAGACTTTACTCTACGCAGAGGTGCTGCCTCCGCTCTGGCGCCTGGGTGTCAGCAGTTTGTGCCTGCAGAGGCCATACAGGCTGGGCATCCATATCCTGAAATTGAAAATGACTGAGCAGTGACAAATTCCCCATCTGCCCCCAAGTGAGGAGTCTCAGGCAGAGCAGGAGCTGGAGGGATGGTGTGGCTGCTAAGAGCTCTTACACAAGACATGGTTTCGTTCCCAGCACCAACATGGGGCCTCACAGCTGTCTGTAACAGGCAGATCAGGAGTTGAAGCTGGAGAGGTGGCTCAGTGGTTAAGAGCACTCACTGCTCTTCTGAACATCCTGAGTTCCATTCCTATCAACCACATGACAGCTCACAACTATCTGATGTGTTTTCTGGTGTGAGATGTACATGCAGGCAATATACTCATATATATAAAACAGACACACATACATACATACATACATACATACATACATACATACATACATACATATATATGGGTGTGGTGGCACATGCCTTTAATCCTAGCACTCAGGGAGGGAGGCAGAGGCAGTCAGATATCTGTGAGTTCAAGATCTGCCTTTGTAGCCTGGTCTACAAAGCAAGTCCAGGACAGCCAGGGCTACACAGAAAAACAAAAAAGTTCAGGAGCTGAAAGCTAACCTGGTCTATATTAAACCATGTTGCAAAAAGTCCATGTCACGTGTTTCCTATAAGGTTCATGAGTACTTGGGCACAGGCTAGCTAGACTGGCCCATCCAGAAGCTCACAGCTCAAGTCCCCAAACCACCCAGGACTTACTGTTCTAGATTTTAAAGGCTGTTGGTTCTAGCACAGTGTTTCTCAACATTCCCAATGCTGTAACCCTTTAATACAGTTCATGTTGTGCTGACCCCAACCATAAAATTACTTACGTTGCTACTCTTCATAACTGTGCTTTTGCTACTGTTATGAATCATAATGTAAATAACTTTTCCGATGGTTTTAGGTGGTTGTGACCCACCGATTGAGAAGCACTGCCCTGGCCAGCCAGGCTGGAGGCCTCTTGCTCTTTGCTTTACTGCTGATGCTGGCAGTGTGTACAGTTGTCGTCAGTGGCACCTGCACAGGCCTCAGCTGTCAGGAGCCTTTGGACTGTTGACAGTTCATATTTCTCATCTGTTCTTTTTCCCGCCACCTTGAAACTTTTCAGATTTCTCTTAATTGTGTATGTGACACACACACTTGCTGTTGACCACGCAAGATGGCACTGAATTCCCTTGAGCTGGAGTTACAGATGTTTGTGAGTCTGGTGTTGCTGTGAATACAACTGCCTCCTGAGCCTTCTCTCCATCTCTTCAACCCCTGCCCTGCCCTGCCCTGCCCTGCCTCCTCTTCTGTTAGCTGTTCCACCATCTGTACAAAGATGTCCAGAAGAGAAGCCTGGCAAGTGACAGACTGTTACATCAGCCACTTCTCATTGCTGTGGAAAATTCCTGTTAACAAAAGCACTTCAGGAATGGTTTGTTTGGGCTTGTAATTCAAGTGTGCAGTCCAATCCATGTTAAGAGGGAAAGTATCACAGCTGGATGGTCACTTAACCTAATCTAAGCCATCTGTCAGGGACATGCCCAGGGCCTTGTTTCCAAAGTGACTGATCCTGTGAGATTGGTGAGGTTGGTGAGATGAAGACCACTGATCCTGTGAGATTGGTGAGGTTGGTGAGATGAAGACCACACCTAGAATCCCTGGTCTCCGAGTTCACAGCCTGCCTGGTCCACTGTCATGAAACACCATGGGAAGAAAAGTAACTTGAGAGGACAGGGTTTCTTTCTCTAGCTTATGTTTCCACGCAACTGTTCATCCCTGAAGGAAGTCAGGAAAGGAAATCAAGCAGGGCAGGAGCTAATGCTGAGGCCAAGCTTACTGGCTTGCTCCTCATTACTTCCTCAGCCTGCTACCTTATAGAATGCAGGACCACCAGCCCAGGGATGGCACCACCCACCATGGGCTGGACCCTTCCTCATGAATCACTAAGAAAATGCCTACAGCCAGCCAGTGGTGGCTCACACCTTTAATCCTAGCATGCAGAAGGATCTCCAGGTTTGAGGCCAGCCTGGTCAACAGAGTGAGTGAGTTCTAGGACAGCCAGAACTGCACAGAGAAACCCTGTCTCAAAACAAACAAAACAAAAAAATGCCCACAGGCTTGTTTATAGTTGGATCATATGGAGACATTGTCTAAATAGAGGCTCCCCACTGTGATGGCTCTAGCTTATGTCAAGTTGACAAACTAGGATAGCTACATATGTGGACCTTGTCTCAAAATAAGAAAGCCGGTCATGGCAGTGGTAACACTCCAGAGGCAGAGGCAAGCCATCGCAACAGTGAGTTCGAAGCCAGCCTGGTTTATGTAACGAGTTCCAGGACTGCATAGTGAGACCCTGTCACACATATAAAACTGGCTGCTTAAGCCTTTTTACGGGACCCAGTGCTACCACATCATAGAGATGGAGAGGAGGCTGTCACCTTCGAAAAGGAACAGAAGGACCCACTTAGATAGCTGGGGAGGATTTGTGGCCAGGATGTTCCATGCCAGTCCGTACCGGTAGGTCCTGCTTCACCCCCTTTGGCCAGGCTGGGAATGGCTGCTGGAGTTGCTTTGCTTCCCAAGGGTTTCCATTGCTGTGAAGAGACACTATGATCACAGCAACTCTTACAAAAGAAAACATTTAATTGCTGCCGGCTTAAAGTTCCAGGGTTTAGTCCATTATTGTCCTGGCAAAAGCATGGTGGCACACAGGCTGAGAACTCAACATCTGGATCAGCAGGCAGAAGAACTGGAAGCCTGGAGGCCTAGTTTGAGCTTTTAAGACCTCAATGCCTGCTGGCCGGTGGTGTAATACACACCTTTAAATCCAGCACTTGGGAGGCAGAGTCTGTGTGTTCCAGGCCAGCCTGGTCTACAGAGCGAGTTCCAGGACAGCCAGGGTTACACAGAGAAAGCCTGTCTTGAAAATAAAACCAAAAACTCAAAGCCCACCCCTAGTGACACACTTCCTCTAGCAAGGCCACACCTCCTAATAGTGCCAGGCCCTATGGCTCTCTATGAAGGGCATTTTCAAGCTGTTGTAGCCTGCTATTTGAGAGAAAGCTGCAGCCATCTTTGTATCAGCTTTCATTTTGTTTCTAAGGTGAAATTAAGTTCAAATTTTTAAACTTTTCAACTCTGCTTTCTGGAAGCAGTTGTTCATAGCTGACCTTATGATTCAATAATGTTATAACTCGTACTTTGTTATCTATTCATATGGCTACACACCTGGCTACACTTTGGATGTACTCTAGAAGACCGTGAGCCCTGCCTCACTTAGGACCAATCAACTTAAAGTTTAGCTGATAATTGTCTAGTTAGCAAAAAATGAAATATTGCTTTGTATGGTTAGCCAAAATGCGTTACTGCCCTCCCCATGTCTTTTGCATTTGGTTCTTTCTATAAAAACCCAGCTGTGAGAATTTGTAGATGTCACAGTAGGCTCCCTGAGTCCTTACTGTGGTCCTGATCAATCAGCTTGGAAAAGGCATTTCAATAAACCATCCATACCTACCTGAGACTGGAGTCTGAGTGGTTTGTGTCGTTATTCTTACACCAGAACAAAACCACCATGAAGACCAAGTCTCAGCTCCCAGCACATGACCGTCACAATCATAACCCCATTGCCAGGGGATCCAATATCATTTTTGTTTTTCTAAGATTTAAAGTTTTGTTGTTGTCGTTGTTTACATTGGTGTTCTGTCTCCATGTAGGTGGTTAAGTGTGTCAGATCCTCTGGAATTAGACAGTTGTGAGCTGCCATGTGGGTCCTGGGATTTGAATCTGGGTCCTTTGAAAGAGTAGCCAGTGTTCTTAACCCCTGAGCCATCTCTCCAGCCTGTTTGTTTTTGTTTTTTGTTTTTTTTTTTCCTCTTTGTTTGTTTTTAAGATTATCTATGTTGTTGGGAATTGGAATCAGGACTTTTGGAAGAACAGACAGTGCGCTTAACCACTGAGCCATCTGTCCAGCCTCCTTAAATAACTCATTTGAGACAGGGTTTCTCTGTGTATCTCTGGCTGTTCTGGAACTCACCGAGATCCATCTGCTTCTGCCTCCCGAGTGCCGGTATTAAAGGCGGGGGACACACTGTGTTAAAACGTATACGTTTGTGTGTGGGTGGGTGCATGTGAAAACGGCTGAGGAGGCCAGTGTCAGATGCTGTTAATCTGGAGTCACAGGTTGTTGTGAAACCCTAGACTCACTCTCACTGTCTCTCTCTCTTCCGGGTTCTTTCTCTGCAGTGTCCCAACTCCAACCCCTCCCTCATGGTCCACTCACTTTCTACACCTTCCCCAGGCCCTCCTCCCTTTCCCCAATTCCCAATAAACTTCCTTATACCAAACGCGTAAATTCCTGGGGGTGGAGGTGTGCACCTTGACATGGGCCCGCCAGGTGCAACCCTCATCATCGTTATAGATCGTAACACATGATTTATTACAGAATGGAAACGGCCAGGTGAGACCTCAGGATGCAGACGGCCAGGGCTGTAAACCAGCAGGTCTGTCGGATGGGAGCGCCACCCTGGCACGTCATCCTGCAGGGTCGCGTAAACCTCAGGCCAGGGCTCCCGCCCGAGGAGAAAGCGGAGCGCGTGACCTAGCCGTGGAAGACATGCGCAGTGAGATAGGGAAAGCTTCACGAGCGAGCGGAACGTAAGGATCGCTTTACGTATCGGTCTTTCCGGTCCAGCCAACCAATGCTCCCGGACGTGGTCGGCAGTTCCAGGACCGAATGGGTTACAGAGACTTTGCCTCAAAAATCGAAAATAGGCCAAGAAACAAAACTATGACTTTAGAAAGGTGCTCCCCAGGGAAGAAAACGGCTTACTCTTGAATATACTGCGGCTCTAAATAAAATGCCACTTCTGCCCAAGCGTAGCGGAGCGGACCTCGGAGGGGAGGGACGGCCGTCCGAAAATAAGACCCCACGCAGACACTTCCGCCCTTTTCTAAGATGGCGCAGGCGGAAGGGGCCTGCCCGCTGGCAACGTCTCGGCTGGAGTTAAACCTGGTGCGGCTGCTCTGTCGGTGCGAGTCGATGGCGGCAGAAAAACGAGAACTGAATGAGTGGCGTCTGGAGAAGGTGAGGGAATCCCATGCCACCGCTGAGGCCTCTAGCCCCTCTTTGCATAGGTCCGGCCCCGCCCCTCGTTGCATAGGTCCTTTCCCCTTCATGCTCAGGCCACGCTTTCTCAGTTCCTAGGGCTTTCCTTTAGCACCCTATTCCGGGCCCGGGCCCCTCTCCTGGTCCCTCTTTTCCCACTCCTCTCTCTGCTGTGACTCCTGCCATCAAGCCTTGTGGCCCTGACCTGGCTGACACCCTACCTTCCCTCCCAGTATGTGGGTGCCTTAGAAGACATGCTGCAGGCTCTGAAAGTCCAAGCAAGGTGAGTATGGGGGCACTGAGACGTCTCCCCCGACGCAGTCACTGCGGCAGATTGACTTCCTCTTGCTGCCTTTCAGCAAACCCGCCTCCGAAGTGATCAGTGAGTACTCCCGCAAGGTGGACTTTCTGAAGGGCATGCTGCAGGCTGAGAAGTTGGTGAGCCTGCCCTCCTAACCCTCGCACCTCACTCGGGCCCCTACGGCTCCCAGGACCAAGACACAGCCCTCCAGTGACTCATCTTCCCCTTCCCATGTCTCCTTAGACCTCCTCCTCTGAGAAGGCTCTAGCTAACCAGTTCCTGGCCCCTGGCCGAGTGCCCACCACAGCCAGGGAGCGGGTGCCTGCCACTAAGACTGTGCATTTGCAGTCTCGGGCACGGTACACCAGTGAGATGCGGAGTGAGCTGCTGGGCATGGTATGCTTCCCTCCTTTGTCCTTGTCTGTGGGACCAACCTCAGGATAGCCACAGAAAAGAAAAATAGGACCAGGGACCAAGAGGGCCCGTAGACAAGGCTTCCCCAGAGAAGGCACTGTGCTCGTGACTGCTAAAGGAATGGTAGTTTGGCTGGACAGTGGTGGCACACGCTTTTAATCCCAGCACTTGATAGGCAGAGGCAGGAGGATCTCTGTGGGTTTGAGGCTAGCCTGGTCTACAGAGTAATTTCCAGGCTAGCCAGGATTACATCGTGAGACCCTGTATCAAAAGACAAACAAACAAGCTGGGTGTGGTGGCACATGCCTGTAATTACAGCACTTAGGGAGGCAGAGGCAGGTGGATCTCAGTAAGTTCAAGGCCAGCCTGGTCTACAAATCGAATCCAGGACAGCCAGGGATACACCGAGAAACCCTGTGTCAAGAAATAAATAACAAACAAAACCTCAAAACATATAAATAGAAAACAAAAATGGATCATGTCTGGTTAAAGCTCCAGAGTTGGCCCCAGAGCAGCATTTGGGTGAGTTTCTTTCCAAAAGGATAAGGACTATCCTTCAGAGAGCTTTATATGGGTCACCCCAGAGCAGAAAGAGATTTGGGGAAGACATAAATGTGCATAGTTTCTCATGTCTCTCCCTTCTCCCCACAGGAATCTTCTGCAGGTGAGTCATGCTCAACAGGATTTGACTGTCCCTCCTGTGCCACAGCCCTTGTGCCTGCCTGGCTCCCTTGATCTTTCCTAGTCCAGGAAGAGGGTCACCGAGGGTCATCTTTAGTCATGCCTGAGGAGAGACTAAGAGAACACGGTCCCTAGAAGGGACAGCACCCCAGCACACTGCTAGGCCACTGGGAGGAACCTGGGACCTTGGGGATAGGAAAGAGTCCAGTGGACAGCAGTTCAAAAGCTACCCAAACATTTTGGGTAGCAGACAGCACAGTCAAGGTCAAGAGTTTGGAAACAGGAAACCAACCGTCTTCCTTTTGCTTCCAGAGCTGGAGATGGACATGAGGAAGCGAGTGTGAGTATCTCAGCCATTGAAGGACAGGGCAGGGAAAAAAGCAGGATGAAGTGGGGCCCCTGAGGTGCTTATAAGGACCAGCTGCCCACTGGACATCCTTTCTGGGGCTCTGTTCCTGGCGTGTGAAAGAGCAAGGGAAACAGTCCCAAGCAGAACTGAGGGTGGTGCCACGGCCCCTGGGATCTTTGGGAAGGTACCACATGGGTGTCTGTATCTACATGTTACTCCTGGCTACCCACAAATGTGGGGTCAGCAGAGCGAAGGAGCCCAGGTCTGCAGATGAGAAGCAGTCAGCGTCTGAGCTGGACCTCGTCCTCCAGAGGCACCAGGGCCTCCAGGAAAAGCTGGCTGAAGAGATGCTCGGCCTGGCCCGCAGCCTCAAGACCAACACACTGGCTGCCCAGAGTGTCATCAAGAAGGACAACCAGGTATGGCAACACTGCAGCCTCTGCAGGAGTACGGTAAAGCCCAAGGTGGCGGTATCTGATGCATGCATAGCAGTCAGCAAGGGGCAGAAAACCACAGGCCACTCAGGACAGGTCATATTTGGTCTCAGTCTTGTTGATGAAGTCCCTGCTTCTCCCACAGACCCTGTCACACTCACTCAAGATGGCCGACCAGAACCTGGAGAAGCTGAAGATGGAGTCTGAGCGGCTGGAGCAGCACGCACAGAAGTCTGTGAACTGGCTGCTGTGGGCCATGCTTATCGTCGTATGCTTCGTGTTCATTAGCATGATCTTGTTTATCCGAATCATGCCCAGGCTTAAATAAAGTCCGCCCACCAGCTCATGTGCCTTCAGTGCCCGTGGGTGGGGAGCCTGGGTTGCAGGGTAGTATGGGCCAGCATGCCTTCTATCTGGAAGTCAGCCGTTAGCCTCTGCTCGGTGCTCTGGCTCAGTGCTCTGGCTCAGTGCTCCAGAGCGTGAGAGTCCCAGGGAAGCCTGTACCAGGTCTCAAAAACGGGGGAAGAAAGACTAAGACCTGCCTGGGAAAGCAGTGGAAGTCCACAGTGGTGGCCACACTGCATCTGAGCCCTAGGGAGGCAGAGGCAGGCAGGTTACCTTAGAAAATGGTAGGGCAGCTGAGGTAACATGCTTGTTAGATGGTTCAGCCAATAATGGCACTTGCCACAAAGCCTGGCAACTTGAGTTCCACCCCAGAGCATAAATTAAATGCCGTCAGAATAGGGGGACAAAAAGCAAACGAAAAGTTCTATTTAATAATGAGTACACTGACTGTAACTCCAGCTCCAGGGAAGCTGACAGCTCTGTCTTTGGGCAGCTGCACTCACAAGCACACAGTTAACCTAATCAAAGTCTACGCCTTTAGGGGAGGGGAGAAGACTAGAGTAAGATTGGTGCCCAAGCTGCAGAATCTCAGTCCTCATCTAAGTTGCCTGGGGTGGGGAGCATGATCCCAGTGCTAGGAGAGACAGGCACATCTACCCGGAGGTCGCTGCCCAGCCAGCCTAGCAAAGCGGGAAGCATTAAGGAACTGCTGGTCTCTGCGTATGCATACAGCCACAAACATTTTTTGATAGTTACTAAACAACGTCAAGCTGGTAAAACGGCCGCTCTTTCCAACAAGTAGCCTGGTGAAGGTGAGGAGGGCAGCAGCGCCCCTGGAGGGCCGATTCCAGGCTAGGCGTGGAGCCCTTGCCGCAGGCCCCGCCCGCAGAGCCCGCCCCGACGGCCGATCACCCGCGCCAGCCGTTCCACCCGCAGTTTCTACGCGGCTGCGATCCCGGCGGCAGGCTAGCCCGGACAGGCGACCACGAGCGGGACGGCCAGAAGGCCCTCGGGCGAGCGAGGGCTGGGACGCCGCTGGCGGCGACTTTGCGCTGCGCCCGGCAGGAGGCGCGGGGGTCGACCCGGTCCAGGGTCACCGTGACGTCCAGGATCTGAGGCGGGGGCTACGCTGCGCGGCCATCCGGTCTCGTGCCTTCATGCAAAAGACGGCGCAGTGACGCCACGGCGGCTCTTCAGCGCCCTCTTTCCTAGTCCGCAGTCAAGGGGCGGAGTCTGGGTTGTGCGGGAAGCCAACCGCGCTCCTATGTGCCCGCGGTCCCCGCCTCCAGGCGCGCTCCTCGGGCCGGCCCACCCTGGCGTCCAGGCCCCGCCGTCCGGGGGCACTCGAGCGCGGCGGCCCCACGCATGCCCTCCCGGGAGCCCCCGCCGCCCACCCTGCCCGGCCCCGAGCCCCGCGCCCGCCGGCCGCAGTGCCAGTCCTGGCCGGGAGAGCTCCGCACGAGGACCAAGAAGATCGTTTTTGCGGATGAACTGCGCCCCCTGTCCCCGCTGCACTCAGAGAAGCCTCTCAGGGACCTTGGACCTCGCCCTAGCACAGTGCCCGACTACGAACTGTGAGTGTCCCCTCGTGGCTTTTTGTTTTAAGAACAGGTCTGGCCGTGTAGCTCAAGACAGCCTGTGAAGTCATGATCCTCCTGTCTCAGCCTCCTGGAGTCACCAACCCCGTGTTCCTTCATGCTTCTTAATCCTGGGAACCAGGAAGAGGCTTGGCTTTGTGGGGCCAAGCGCTTATGAAGTTAGGAAATGGGGGTGGTGAAAGAAGTCATTTTTGTTGGGGTCCCAACATGGGCAAAGAAAAGCTGATTGCCAGGATGGAGTGGAAAGGCCTTCCGCCCACGCACTGACCCCTTCCGACCTGGCAGGAAGTACCCTCCAGTGAGCAGCCGGAGGGCCCGGAGCCGCTATGCTGCTGTGTTCCAGGACCAGTACTCGGAGTTCTCGGAGCTCCAGCGGGATGTGGGGGCCTCGCAGGCCAAGCTGCAGCAGCTGGAGGCCCTGCTACTGTCGCTGCCCCCACCGCGAAGCCAGGTCAGCCCCGGGGCCCCATGTGCATGGTGGCCTTCCTCTGCCCTTCTGAGCCCCCTCCCCTCCTTGCCCTTTCAGAAGGAGGCTCGAGTGGCAGCTCGTGTCAGGAGAGAATTGGAGAAGAAGCGGGTGGTGAGTCCACAGCTTTGTTTGCGACGCTGCCTGTACTGTCTGGTATTGTTCTGAGGTTGAGACCCTGTAATGAAAGCTGAGGTTTATAAAGAAAAGAGCTGAACAGGGTGAGGGCTTCGGGCTAGAGTGCCAGGAGAACTTTCTGAACTCTTGTTCCCCTAGGATCCTGGCTTCCTAGAGAAGCAGGCTCGCTGTCAATACCTGGAGGGTAAACTGAGGCACCTCAAGGCCCAGATCCGAAAATTTGATGACCAAGGGGACAGCGGCAGTGAGGACTCCGTGTTCTTCTGAGTGTCTTGGAGATAGTGGCTGGTGCCTCCTCCCATGGGGAACCGCACCCCAGTTCTTCCAGGGGGAGCAAGTCCCGTTGAGAACCCCAGAGAATAAACATGGATTAGACATCTACTGTGTGCAGCTGCCTAAAAGCATTCCTCCATTTCACAGAGGGGAAAACGAGGTTCAGAAACAAGGACCAGTCCAAGGTCCCAGGTGGGGGAGTGATGGTATAGATTTCAGTATCCTGGGGGACAGGGGCAGAAGACATGTGTTGGGGACAGCCTACACAGGCTGTTTGTCCCTCCTAGTCATTTCTGTAAGTGATTTGATGGGCCGGGGGTGGGGGTGTATGTGTCATATAGGGCCAATGCTTGGGACCTGTCTACGGGGGTGCACTTGAGGAAACCCTGGTCCCTTTCACTCCACATAGGTCCTCACTTTGACTGGCCTTGGCTCAGTGCTGCACAGGCGGTGTCCTGGAGATGCCAACCCGAGCCACAGAGGTTAAGAGCCAGTTGCAAGCCAGCAGTCCAGTTACTCTGGTCCTGGAGAGGTAAAAACCAGGGAAGTTAAAAATCTGGGAAATTGACATGTCTTCCAACAGAGAGGCCACAAGTGTGGAGTTTTGTAGGAAAAGCACATCAGCTGTGGACTGAGCACAGGTCGTGGGCGTGCCAAGTATAGATGTGGCACTAATCCCACTCCAAAGCTGGAAAGCTGGCCCTAATTCCTTGTCCTTGGTACTTCTCAGTCTTTTTTTTTTTTTTTTTTTGGAGACGGGGTCTCTGTGTAGCCCTGGCTGTCCTGGACTCGCTTTGTAGACCAGGCTGGCCTCAAACTCAGAGATCCTCTTGTGCTGGGATTATAGGCGTGTGCCACCACCACTGGGCTTGCACCCCTCATCTTTGATCATGAGACATCAACTTGGTTAAATTCACATTCCAAAGTCTGTCCCCACTTTCTTGTGACAACTTCAGAAATGATGGTTTATGTTACTTGAGACAAAACTGAACTGACCCAACAGAAAAGGTACCTTGACCTCATGAACCTGAAAGCATCCAAGAGTTCCAGGCTTGATCCAGCAAGTACAATGATATCTTGGGAAAGCCTCTACCAGGGTTATTTCTCACAGGAGACAGGCCAGGCTCTGGGGCTACCTTCTCAGCATTGCAGAAGAAAACGGAGGCTGAGCAAGTAGGGGAATATCTTTATTATTGGCCATGATTTCATTATCCCATAGTGCCTACCACAGCCATGTATCCAGGGGACCCCATGGCCCATAGTACCCCTGCCCAGCTTCAGTGGTCCTTCCAGATATTAGGCCCATACCTATCACACCAGAGGCACCACCATGCTGGCTCCAGACCCTCAGCCCCACCCTGACCAGGAGCCGCCAGGAAGACAAGGCTAGGACCTAGGAGATCAAAAAAATTTTTTTTTGGTTTGTTTCATGATTATTTAAAAAACAAAACAGAGAAACATTTCACAGTCTTAAAAAAAAGAAATCAGCCTCAGGAAAGAAGCTGGGGACCAAATCCCCAGGGTCCCTGCAAGGTCCCAGGATCTATGCATGTCCATTACTAGCCCGAGCCATAGGGCCAGTTGAAGGTGCTCCCTGACAGTAGCATGTCCCGGATGAGCGTCTCGATGGGTGTCTTGCCCACCAGGCGCATGAAGAAGAGCTGGGAGATGAGGGATGCAGGCACAGCACGCAAGGCTGGGAGCCTCAGCAACAGGCGCCCAAAGCGCTGGGGCTGGGATGGGTACTGGGCACGCACGTACTCCGTGAGGGCCACCTGTGCCTTCTCCTGCAGGCTCTCCACATGGGCTGGGTCAGAAAGGCCACAGGCATCTGCAGGAAGCAGGGACCAAAGACAGTCACGTTTTGGAAAGCAGGGAGAGTGGCCTGCAGGGGAGAGGGGTAGGGATGAAGGTGGGCGTGAGCAGAGATGGCTACAAATGGGATAGATAGCACAGACAGGCAATGTAGAACCAGGAGAACTGCACCCAATGCAGAACTCTCTGAGCCCACCAGAAGGGAGGTGCTGAGAGGTTCAGCCCCACCCTGTGAGGGGCTCACTACTAACTGGCTTCACTTTGTGGGAAAGGTCCCCTTCAGCCACCTCACCACTAGTGCACAGACATACATCCCTTTTGCTTTTTCAGGTGGGGATTAGACAAGGTCTGCATCTCTAGTCCATACTGTCCTGGAACTCGCTAGCCTATTGCCTCAGCCTGCACTACACCACCAGTAGATGAGGCCCTGGGGACCAGAGTTAGAGGTCCCGTCTAAGAAGTTGCACACTCTCCTCCCCCACCACAGCAAAGCCAAGTCATGGGGCTGGAGAGATGCCTCAGAGGTTAAGAGCACTCACTGGCTGCTTTTCCAAAGGTCCTGAGTTCAATTCCCAGCAACCACATGGTGGCTCACAACCATCTATAATGAGATCTGGTGCCCTCTTCTGGCGTACATGGAGACACAACACTGTATACATAATAAATAAATCTTAAAAAAAAAAAAAAAAAAAAAGGCAAGTCATGGGAGTGGCCTAGAGGTGTGGCCTGGGATGAAGCCTAGGGTGATTATGTGTCCTCCATCCAGGGGTGTGGCACTGAAGGCACTGTAGAACTAGGCCTTAAACAGCTTAGAGCATTGTCTGGAACAGTGTCAGGCCAGAGTGTGGCTGGGCAGCTACCTGTGTCAAAAGGGTGTGACCTGAGGCAGAGTCTGGCGGAGGACTAGCCCAGGTTGCTTGGAGAGGGAAGGGCATGGCCTGGGCCTGTGGTGTGTGGCCTGCCACAGGCATATGTTGGGGAGGGCCTGGGTATCTGAGGCTGAGTAGGCACAGTATCTGGGCTATGGGTGTGGTCAGCCTGAGGGCATGGCCCTGGCTGCCACGTGGCTTGGGTTGGGGTGGCTTGTCCTGGGAGTGGGCTGCTTGGGACGTGGCCTGCCCAAGAGGTGTCGGGGTGGGGGTGGGGGGCTTTGGCGGGGCGGGCTGCTCACCGGGCGTGAAGAGAGCGATGGCCTTGAGGCAGCCGTACTCGGCAGCGTCCACCTGCAGACGGCCCAGCTTGTCCACCTGCTCCTGGAAGGCGCGCACCTGGTCCATGAAGGCCACGGCGCGCTCCGCGGCCATGGGTGCAGCGTGCAGCCCCGCGGCTGCCAGCAGCGGAGCCGTGTGCAGCGGCAGCGCCGCCTGTGCCGCATTCAGCACGAACAGCTCGCTCCAGCTGAGCCGCAGCAGCGCCACCTGGTCGGCGGCCGGCAGCTCCGGGAAGAAGGGTGCGTGGCGGGCCCACTCGACCGTGCTGAACAGCAGGCGCGCTGCCAGCTCGCACACGTTGTCGATGCCCAGCACCGCACCGCCGCCGCCGAAGCGGCCGGCCGCGGGGTAGGGCTCGGCGCGCAGCAGCTGCGCGATCAGCTCGGACACCGGTGGCCCAGCGAATGGCTCGATGCCCGCCGCGCCTGGGGGGCTGCAGGCTGCAGGGCCCGGGAGCGCGTGAGGGATGCGGCCGCGCTGCACGGCTGCGGAGGGAGATGGGGCGGCGTCAAGCTCAAGCACCGGCGTGGGACGGCCATCCCTACCCCGTGTGCCCGCACAGGGGACCAGGCGCGCACTGGCCACCCAGCCCAGACGCCCAGCCCCCCAGGTTTCCCTTCTCTTGCAACCTGGAGGCCACATCTGTCAATCACTGGGGATTCCGGATCTGCCCCCCAACCCCCGCCTCTCCCAGGACTCCCAGCAGTTCCCAGGGAATACATCGCTGACGCGGTATGGTAGTGGTCCCTAAGTGCAGGTACTGCCCTTGTTAGCTGTGCCCGAGGTGGTGCATGCCCTTCACCCCAGCCCTGAAGCACGGAGGCAGAATGGCCAAGCTCCAGCACAAAGTAAGTTTGAGGCCACATGAGATCCTGTTTCAAAAATAACTGAAAAAAAAATCCAATGCTTATCTGAGCCCTCAGTTACAGATGAGGTGAAAGTAAACTGAGGCACAGAGGAATACAGGTTGGCTCCCCAAGACATTTTAGCATAGGGAAGACAGCCTGGGCAGGAAGCCAGGAGGCCGCTAATGAGTGTGCTTTAATGAGCTGACACCTGTCTCACTGGTGGGTGAACTCCAGGCTAACCCAGGGGAAGCCAGAAGCAGGGATGTCGGGGACAAAAGAGGCCAATATCAGAGAAGTGGGGAGCCACTGGCCAACAGCTGCAACTGATAAGGCCCCAAATGTTCACAGAATGGGAACTGCCACTCTCTTCATGGCGCCCTTATCCAGCCCTGTTCCTATTCCAGGGCCTTTGCCCAGAATGTTCCCCATCTCAAAATCCTGCCTCTCCCCTCCACCCAGTCTAGACGGCTGGAATTCAAGTGTCAGCACACATCCTCACTGTCTGTCCATGCTTGTTTCCTCACAGGCCAAACCCAGCAGGTGACCACTACGCTACTCCAAAACCTAAACAACTTTGCTTCCAATAGTGTCTGTCGGGTGTGAAAGGCTGGGTGCACAGTAATTCCAGCCAGGAGCCATCTGCTGAACACCTACTGCGTACCAGGCCCTGGAATAGGTGAGCGGTGTCAGTTTCAGAGTGAGGCAGACATAGAGCAAGCAAGTGTTAAAGGAGGTGGGGGAGGCACCAGGCCCACACTTGGAAGGAGGACCAGCTGTGCAAAGGCCCTGAGTACAAAGGCAGCTGGAGCCAGAGTCCTGTGAAGGAAGGCTGGTGATCACAGGCTGATTAGAGACTGTCAAGACTTCCCATCAAACAGGTAAGTTGAGACAAAAAATCCAGGTTGGGCAAGGACAGGGCAGGAGTCACCATCAAAGTTAAAGGGATCAGAGAAAGTCATCAAATAAGGTTTTTTTTTGTTTGTTGTTTTGTTGCATGCATGTGTGTGTGCGCACCTCGTGAGCATGTGAGTATGTTTTGTGTACAAACTTGTATGTGCATGTACATGTCCATGTGTGTTGTTTTGTTCTAATGAGGTTTTGCTATGTAGCTGAGTTGACTTCAAACTGGATATCCTCCTGCCTTGGTCTCAGAGGTGCTGGGGTGACAAGCCTGCCTCACTGTGGCTCTCAAGTCTGAAGCAGATCATAAGCAGTGGGCATACTCAGGTCCTAAGAAGCTCACAGGAAAGTGACCAGTGTCAGACAGCTCCAGACAGCCTCCCCTTTGCCACCAGCCCAGGCTCCCAACCCTCAGGGCTGAGTGGCTGCCCCCACGTTGCACTTGGATTCTGGAGGTGCCTGACGGGATCTGAGGTCCAGCTGCCCAGTGTGTCTGGGCACCCTTTGGCTATAATCTGGCTGAGTCCTGCCTTCAGCAAACACACAGAGCAGAGAGTAAACAATTTAAAAAAAAAAAAAAAAATCCCAGGCCAGAAAGGGAGGAGGAGGTCACCAAAAGAAAAGGTCGAGGAAGCTGAGCATGGTGGGGCAAGTCTTTAATCCTAGCACTTGGGAGGCAGAGGCAGATGGATCTCTGTGAGTTTGAGATCAGCCTGGTCTACAAAGTGAGTTCCAGGGCAACACAGAGAAATGCTGTTTCAAAAAAACAAAACAACAACAAAACAAACCAAAGACAAAAAAGAAAAGGGCAAGGAGATGCCCTCTAAGGTCAGGTAGAGCCTGGGGAAAGCTCAGTGGCTGCATCCCACAACCAGGCATCTGGTATCCTAGCTGGACCACTCCGGGGACCCCAGCCAATCCCATGGCTACTCACCCTCCTTGCGCATGCCCACTCGGAAGCACTTCTTGAGGCGACAATACTGACACTGGTTCCGGTGATGCTGATCAATCTGACAGTCACGGTTGGACCTGGAGACACAGCCAGGGCTCATGGTGATACACCTGTAAACCCTTGAGAGACACCAGTGGGAGTTCCCTAGTCTGTAATGCTAGCCCCAAAAGCACTCTGTGGGGATTCGGTTCCCTAACTTGGAACTGGGCAATTGGATGACAATGGGTGTTGAAGGACAGCACACAAGGGGGTCACCTTAGAAATGGGTTGTGAAGGATGAATAGAAGTTTCCCAAAGGGGCAGAAATGGAGAAGCCCTTTCTGGTAGAGGATACAGTAGAACAGATTTGAAACTCAAAAGGATGGAGAATTAATCCTTTTCATTTTACCTGGTCACCATCAGGCTAAGTGCCAGCTGTAAATGGAGTCACAGCACTGTGTGGCCCCAACATTACAGCCTGTGATGAGAAGGAATGAATGAGCAGAACTTTTCCCTCTGAGAATGCCTGCCCCACCCCACCCCCAGTTCTCCACAAGCCCAGGACCCTTCCTCTGGGCAGTCCTCAGGGAATGTCCAATCTAGGCACCAAGGAGCACCAGACATGGAGTAGAAATGAGAGGCAGAAATCAGGCCCACAGCTGGGCGCTGGCTTCTTCACCAGGCCTGATCCTGTACCATGCACTAGTTGCTGCCCCATATAGGAGACACTGAGCTGGTCCCTGGGGATTGGGTGTGTGTGTGTGCCCCAACCAGCCCCTGCTCAAGACAGGGTTAGGAGATCCCAGACCCTTGGCTTCCAGAGGCCCCAGGAAGGGGCCCAGCTGGGGCAGAGAGAACTCAGGCAAAGCCAGAACAAAGCCAGCAGCCAGACAGTTGGGGGATCAGGGCAGCCAGCTGGAACTGGCCAGGCCCTGGAGCCCTACTGGCTCCACTCAGGGAAGGCCTTCTGTCTTCCCTTCCCGACTGTGTTTGGGAGCGACTGAAACCTGTAAAAGGCAGTAAGTTCTTCCAGCTTTCTCACCTGACATGTATGTGTGCTTTGCCCAAAGGCTTGGCCTTCCTCCCATGGCTGCCATGTTTCTGTTTGGGGATGGGGGAGTGGGGCACTGCTCCCTCACTATGCTGTCCAGGCTGCCCTCAGACTTCCACGTAGCTGAACTGTGTGTGACACACAGTGCCTAACTTCGCAATCCAACCCAGGACCTCATGCCACTAGAGATAGCTGCTGCTGCTCCACTAAGGCTCAGAGAAGGGCACCAACTACATGAAGTCATATAGCATAGGTCCTAAGGAACTCAGTGCAGATAAGACCTTCCCCAGACACCTTTCACTCTCCCCAAAGACCCAGCCAAACCCAGCAACTCATTCCAGTCGCAAGAATGAGGCCAAAGTCTGGTTGGCCCAATTACAGCTGGAGGAGGGGAGCAAGGCAGGTCCTCACCAAGTCCAAACTCTGACATGGTGGCAGCCTTCACTTGAACGGCCACTAGCAAGTACCTGGATTCTCCACATCCCAGGCCCCACAGCTCCACCTGCTAACCCACTAGCCAGGACCTTTCCGCTGGTCCTACAACTTCTCTGGGAAGCGGGGGCTGTCTGCTCTGTTCTGAGGCCCTGCTGGATCCTGAGGTGCAGAGCCCGGCATCTGCAATCTCTGTCTGTCCTGAACACCCAACCTCTTTTCCAAGAGACTTTCTGTCCCGGGCCGAAGCCCGTAAGCAAGGCCTTGCCCTGGCCGGCCCGGCAGAGGGTCCGCACCAGGCAGCATCTCCCACGGGCCCCCGAAGTTTAAGTGATCGTCCCGGAGCCCCAAGGCTGCACCAACCCCGGAGTTGGGGGTGCGGTCAATTCCGGTGGCCTTGCTAGCCCTCCGGCGGCGGCTTCCGGTGACCGAGTCCACGGGGTGGTCCCCTGATGGACAGGCCCAGGCCCCCCGTGCACAACAGTTCCCCGCTGCCGGCGAAGGCAGCCAGGCCGAGCCACCCACCCGGGCGTCCCTCCAGCTGCCCGTGCCGGGGCGACTTTGGAAGTGATATTTGACCCAAGGGCGCGCCGGATCGATTCGCGCGGCCGTAGACAATGGCCCCTGGACGCCTCCAGGCCCGCGGTGCAACTTGCACCTCTGATTCCCGCGGGGCAGCACGCGTGACGGGCCCCAACGAGAAAGGGGGATCTGGGGGCTGGAAAGGGGGTCCCCACTCCTGACAGCATCCCAGAGCCCTCCCCGCGCGGCAGAACCTGTTCTCAAGAGCAGCAGGACAGGAGCAAAGACCACCTGCGGGGAGGGAAGGGGTGACCTGAACGCATGCATCGCCAACTGTATACCGGATCGCGACCGGGGCAGGGCCTGGGGCGGGGATGCGGGTGCGCGGAAGGTCAGCGTCAGGCCCAAGGTGACCGAGCAGGTCCGGGCCGGCCCGGTGGCCGCGCGTGGGGCTCACCGGCAGGTGTAGCTGAGGTTGCGGCGGATGCTGCGCTTGAAGAAACTCTTGCAGCCCTCGCAGGTGAACACGCCGTAGTGCTTGCCGCTGGACTTGTCCCCGCACACCACGCAGTCCACCTGCAGCCCCGGGCGCTCCTCGTCACCCGGCTCCGCGTCGCTGGCCGCCCCGGGAGGCGACGCCGAGTCGTCCTCGGTCGCGCGTGGGTAGCTTCCACCGGCCTTGTCCACGCCGTTCGTGTCGCCTCCGGGGCCGCCCCAGCCACCGGTCACCATGGCCATAGCCCCCGGGACGGCGGGGCCGGGGCGCCCCGGGACGAGTCCGTCCCCTCTGGGCACGCCTAGCGACCCGAGGGGAACGCGGCTACCCTGTGCGCATGCAGCCCGCGCGCTAGGGGGGGCTCGGGTCGCACCCCCCGAAAAAGTTTTGCGGCAACTTCCTGCGACCGGTCCGCGCGCCAGGCAGGAACTGGTCGGGCCGGTTCCAGGCCAACTTTCCCACGCGTGCCCGCGGCCGACGGGGGCGCGCTAGAGGCGCGAGTCTGGGGCGCCCGGGTCCCGTGGTCCGGAGTCCTGGGGACCCGGTGGGGACGCGCGGGCCATGGCCCGGCCCCGCCGCCCTGGCCAACTTAGCGGCTCGCCATCCGAGCGCGCGCGCGCGCCCCCGACCCCGGGGGGGGAAACTTTGGCCGCAAGTTGCGTGGCGAGGGGGGGAGGGGAGGAGGGAGCGCGCGCCGGAGACCCGGAGTCCCGGACGTCGCGCACGGCCGACCGCAATCGCGGTGGTCCAGAGTGAGAGCCGAGCGGGGAGTGCGGCCCACAGCCTCCCCCGGCTCCCCTCCCCGCCCAGCGCGCGCGCGGCCGGCCTGGGCCTGCGCCTGGGCCCGAGCCTCGGCCTCGCCCTGGCGCTCGCCGCCGGCCCCGCGCTGCGGCCGGCCTGACACCCGT